GGCTCGCCACCGCACACCTGTCGAAACTTTGTTCAACAATACAGTTTGCTGACTCATGCACCTTTCCGTTCCCTCACCTTCCTTCCCATCGTGGGAATCGAGATAACTGAATACAATTGTCGAAGTGTGTGCGTCCACACCTGTTTCAAGTGTTCAAGCAGGGGGGCACAGCAGATGCAAGGGACTGCGCCTAACAAAGCTACCTTGCATCTGGGAAGCAGAGCCGATCAGCTCTGTGTACCTGCACTAACTTTAACCCGCTGCCTCACCCGTGTTAAACAATACTGTTGAAGCGGGTTCCTTCACCTTTCCGTTCCGTCAGCCAAGGTCTAATTGCGTGTAAAGTGGAGCTTCATTCACCGACTCAGCTCTTGCGAACATCAATCTAAGTGCGTTTCGCCACAGAGTCCCACTGAGGGCTGCGGTGTGATCCCCATCGAGGGGCGCAGCATGTGCATAGACCCAGATTTGGGGGACCCTCACTGATCGCTTCCTTCCTGCCCGTGACCTTCTCTCGGACTCTTACTAGCTTGCGGTGTTGCACGAGATTGCTGATCAAATGCCGCAGGGCTTACTGAGATCAAACTCCAGAACGGATCCTCGCATGCTGCTAGGTACATGTCATGCTGCTACGTAGTCACAGGCCACGTTCTTGAAACGTTCAAATACATGCGGCTAAGTATTCACTTTTCTGTTCTTTCCTTCTTGCTGTTGCTCTTGGTTTTCTCGGTCTTTTTCGTTTTCTAGAGGCTTTTTAGGTGTAACGGAGGCTTTTTCAGTCAAGGAAGTGCCGGTTACGGCTTTTGGTCACGCCTTCGGGCAAGGACCCCCACACCCCCACCCTACGCCCCTGCACCCCCTTGCACCTTCCTCTTCTTTTCTTGCCTTTTCGTTTGTCTTGTTCTTTCTCTCAGGCTTGCTAGGTGGACAATCAGGCCTTTTAGTCAATGCACACCCTGCCCACCCCTGCACCCCTTGCACCTTTCTGTTCTTGTCTTGCCTTTTCGTTTGCCTTGTTCTTTCTCTCAGGCTTCCTTGTTAGGTGGACATCCAGGCTCGTTTAGTCAACGCACTCCCTTGCCCCCCCCCACTCCCATCCGCAAGGAAAAATAGAGCGCGCCGGACTCCCGGATTTTTGTGTGTGTCCACACCTGCTTCAAACTGCGCCTAACAAAGCTACCTTGCATCTGGGAAGCAGAGCCGATCAGCTCTGTGTACCTGCACTAACTTTAACCCACTGCCTCACCCGTGTTAAACAATACTGTTGAAGCGGGTTCCTTCACCTTTCCGTTCCGTCAGCCAAGGTCTAATTGCATGTAAAGTAGAACTTCATTCACCGACTTAGCTCTTGCGAGCATCAATCTAAGTGCGTGTGTGTGTGTGTGTGCGTGTCACACTCCGTACCTAGGAGTCCTTTTCCACCAACACACGCAAGGGGCACCTGGAGCAGAGATAGGGCAGGTGCCAACGAAGACACCTATCTCTTGCTCGTGATATCGACGGGAGCCGTCCTGTCGACGTACCTGCTGAAGAAACTTTGTCCACGCTGTGACTCCACTTTGCCGGTTTTGTTTCCATGGCGGTTTTTGCATGCTACTCCCCACAAACAAGTTTCCCACCACATTGCAGCTGCCGCGCCACCGCTGTTTTCGGCAGACATGCAGAATGATTTGTTCAAACACCTTCAAGTGCTCGGACGATTCACCTTTCCGTTCCACCATCCATTTGACTGGGGACTATGACTGTTTTATTGGGATACCCCCACCCAATGGGTTTTGGTCTATGTTCCTTCTTCCAGAGGGTCGTTGCCTGGGAGGTCTCCCTTTTTGAAAAACACCGCCATGTCATGTCTCCAAACACAGCCAGGTCTTTCTTTCAAAGAAAATACAAAGGGAAGTAAAACATCTATTAATATACAGTAGATTGATTATAAACAAACGATAAGATAATTGTAGATATTAGTATGTAGCGCTACATCTAAACGATAATAGATTTGGTTTATCGTTTATGTATACAGTAACACCTACAACGGGCTCGGGTACACATCGGTCGCCTCCGGCTCCATGCCCACGTTGGTGGCGCGCTGCCGCCAGCGCTCGGAGTTGCCTTGGAGCTCCCGGATGCTGGGAGGCACCTGGGAGGCGAGCAGACTGAGCTGGAGAATTCGGTGAAGTGAAGCAGTGAATTTTTGTGTAAAACATGTGTAAACAAGCAATGTTTGTCTGATTTTGTCTGTATAGATGTGATTTCTCCTCTCTATAGTAAAGAAAGATGCCGGGAAACTTGGTCCATGGATCGCCGTCTTTCGAAACGAACCACGAAGCGGTTCGCAGACGGAAGCGCTCCTCGAAGATGTTGGCATCGCCACGATTCACCACTGTCACAGACATCCAGTCCTGGACCATGAAAAATGAGGGAGCCCCACCTAGTAAGCCTTTATCCAGTTGCACATGTCCCAAGAGAGGTGTGATGTTCTCTCCATCCTGCAATTCACACTTATGGTGGCTCAACGGGAGGAAATGGAAGAACACGTGAGCCACTCGACTCACAAGCGTTGCGACTCGTCCTCTTCGTCTTGCTTCACTACTTCTGTCACTGGCATCACCTGCGTGTGGAAGCCTGCGAGATCCGATGTGGAATCGCTTCCCCATCTCCCTGAAATTCAGTGCAAAAACCCAAGCAAGCAATTCCTCCCCCTGCGCCATGAGTGAAACGAAAGCACTGTGGATATGATCGATCCTCATACAGTAAGCCTCACTCGCTACTCAATTACTGAGCAGTTACCATCCTTTTCTGCCCTTTCCAGATCGCTTCGCCTGGTGCCGCCCCATGGTGCGCCAAGCGCCACAAAAACTCCCCGGCCGCCGTGCGCAGCACGTTGTCGGCCACGAGCACAGCTCCGGGCACCAAGCGGCCGCGCAGGAGCGACTGGGCGTGTCCGGGAACAGGTGGGACGTCTTTTTGAGGTAGTAGCTTCTTGTTACTAGTAGCTATTTGCTCCTAGTAGTACGGCCAGGAGCCCCTAGTAGCGTCCTTGCTCCTAGTAGCGATGCCCTTTGCTCCTAGTAGCTTCTTGTTACTAGTAAGGCGGATGTGGATGATAAGGACGAACTACCGCGTGAAGTTGATGGCTATCCACATATCCAAAAGAAGACAAAGCTCTGGCCATAACAGTGCGGTGGCACGTTGTATCCACCCGGGCTAGCTGGGCCAGCATGAAAAAAGTTGATCCCCGCCCGTGCCCAGACCAACTGAACCAACTGAAATGCAGGTTGCATCCTCTTCAGACTAGCTTCAAGCACTTCAGCATATTGTGAGCCCCACAAGTCCAGAAACACTGCACCAAAGCGATGCTTCAGCTGCGGTAGAAGCTGCCGCGAGTGTCCCGTTCGTAGCTCCACCCGAGAGCTTAGGCCTGGCTTCGGGACTGCGGATGGAGCAGGTCTTTGCCTTCACCATGGACCATGGCTATGCATGTTCTTCCGGGTCGATTCACACAATCCTTAACAGACAGATCAAACATCCCAGCCTGCAAATCTACTAAGCCCCTTACCCCCCCCACCACAGGTCTCTGAAGGTCACAAGAAGACCACTTGAGGTTGGCTCCTGCTCATCCTGCTGTGGAGTGCTGAAGGTGTTGAATGGTTTTGATACGTCTTGATGATATATGTTTTTGGTTTGTTTCCCCATGTCCTCCACCCCCACTCAGCTGAAGGTTGGCGCCTGCGAAGCTCAGAAGCACCTTGGCCATCGCGGCGACCGTGGGATCCAGCTCGATGGCCACCACATGAGCACCTCAACACGGCACCAGTGGCTTCAGAGCTTCGGATTCCATCGGCACCCCATGTCTAAGTCGAGCTCAAGCACAAACACGGAGGATTTAGCTGTTGTATACCTGTAAGTTCCTTCTCTATTCCAGTGGTTTCGGAGGTTCGATGGCATAAATCCTCAATGTCGGTGAAAGGTGGTGGATGTTTAGAAAATGGATCCCGTTTTCGAAAGACATCTTGGGGTGCCAGTGAAATCGAACCTCTGAAACCACTGTAATAGAGAAGGAACTTATACAACAGCAAAATCCTCCGTGTTTGTGCTTGAGCCCGACTTGGAAACAGGACAAACCTGAGTGGGAACCTGTGAATCAACACGGGTTGGTGTTTCGGATTGAATCAGCAGTGCTTTGAGAGGCGCACCTGCAAATCGCCGCGACAGCCGCAATGCTGAGCCACCACAGTACGCGCCCACGTCCAAAATGCTGGAGGTGGGAGCCCCTGAGACAGCATGGAGCCTCAACCAGGTGACGCCGTTGACTGCAGAGGACTATGAGACCTAAGCTGACCTACAGAAGTTTGAAGCAAGTCCTTTTTAGCCCGCCGGTACTTAATTTCAGTGGGCGCCTGGTTAATCAAGTAAGGCTAGTGGTTTAATTAAGTAAGCTAGTAGCTACTCGCCGCAGGATAGCTCACGCTTCAAGGAAGCTCCCCCCACCGCCCTACCTTGAAGAGGCGCTCGTACTATTCAGAACAAAAGAAGCATGTCTGTTCAGGACGCTACGATCGGGGCTCCTGGCCTTACTAGGAGCGATCGGACACTACGAACAGAGCTCGAGTCATGTTCCTCCATAGCTTGCGGTCATTGGTCGTCCCCAACGGCATTTTCCACGGCGGTGGCCGATCCTCGGTGAATCTGGGCCGAGCGGCAAAACGTCCGCCTTGCTGCCTCCGGCAAACTTGGCCCAGCCACCTGGGCAGAGCTGCAGAGACCAACTTGGTCAAACTGCATCCCATGAGGTCTGACAAGGCCTTTCAGTAAAGAAACGCTGACACATCATACACATCCGCCTGCTGCACCCAGCTCTCCTCCAAAGCTGTCCATGGCTTCCTCGACCTCATTCGCCCTTCCAAACTGCGCGAAGCGTAGCACATGCCTGCGCAGTTTCGCTGCACATTCGGATCGGCGCAGCTCAAAGGAGTCAACTCCCGCAATCGACGCATGGCGGCCTCTGGCTGCGTGCGCTCTGACCGATGTCTTGCGAGCACCCGGGCCTTAGCAGCGCCACCTCCTTCTGGTAGGGCAACCTGGAGAGGTGAATTCTGAGATGTTTGCTGCACCTGTTGGCTGCTTGGTCAGACATCCTCCCCTTGGTCAGCGCAGACAAACGTCCCAAGCTGTCCCAAGATAACCACCTTGTCATCTCACACTAATGCGATCCTTCTATCATTCATGCAGCATCTTTGTGGGTCGCATCTGTAGCTCACCTCCATCACTCCTGGCTAGATACATTCATTAAGCCAAGCCTGGGTCAGCCCATCTGTCCACCTGTCCATTTTTGATTGCAAAGAATTGAAAATCCGTCACCTTCCATCACCAATCATATCCCGTCATTGATGAACACTTCCATGATCTTTCATGATCTTTCATATCCTACGAGTACCATATCCTACCCACTTCCATGTTTCTTGGAGGCTAGGGTACTACCGCAGTCCCCAGCTCTCGATTTCAACGACCCATCCCACCAGTTCCCACCTTCCTGTGGCAGCTATTGGACCCAAAGCCTGCCGGAGCCCCACCATCAGCACCTCGACATCGCTCGGAGGCTCGGGTTCCGCGAGAAGAGAATGAGAGCGAGAAGAGAATGAGAGAATGGACGTAAAGAAACATCGAGATCTCACGAAGAAAACTACCAGCATAGACCCCAACAGTACACTGTTTGAAAAGAACCCCAACAGTAAACTGTTTGGGGAAAAACCTGTTTGAAAAGAAATATAAACAAACAACAAAGAGGCGTTTTAGGGTTTCGGGTCCCGGTCGGTTCTTGTTAGGATCACTGTCCACTGGTTGGGCTTGTTTGAAACTGACCAGGGTTTTGAAGTGGCAGGCAAGCCAAGCCACATGTAGCAGTGAATGGTTTGGGGTCCAGCTACACCTTTGTCCAAGATCACACTTTTTCAGACTAGAAAGCATCCTGGGCCATCTCAAAGATCCGGGCCTAACTGCCTGATCTATAGAAATCAAAACGCCTCTGCACGTGGACCCCGAATCTAAGTGCACAAACTCCAGATCCAGAAAAATACTGATCAAACTCCTCTGCACATCTGATCTGATCCTTCGGTCCTACAGAAAAATAATGGACCCTTGACTCCACTGACTCTAATAGATCCTCCCCACCGCTCGTCCCATCCGATCGTCCAACCCACCGCCTTCATGTCCCCTCGCTCCACCGCCGCGGCGGACCGTAGAACCTGTATCGCGATCGATTCGGCGACCTCTACGGAGTGCAGCGCCAAGAGAAATCACCCACCAACCCGAGTCCACCCGTGTGTGAGCGAGCATGGTGGTTAAGGAGGACCTTTGGGAGGTCAGAAGGCTAAGCAAGCACACAGGCGAAACGCGTGACACGGGCGAAACGCTGCACACCTGTGGCAAACCGGCAGGAAATTCCTTGCTGCTGGCATGCTCTGCAAGGCCGAGCAGTAGCTCTTGAGACCTTTCTGGATGTCCTCCCGGAGAGAGCACGAGCGGCGGAGGCATAGGCATAAGCAAGCTCGTAACGTTGGTACTGGGGCGGATGGTATTGATAGCCCTCACTCGCATCACAAGAAACTGGGGCACAAGAGTCCTTGAAACATGTTTACAATCTATAATCGTGAGGGCCACAACCGATCTAAAAAGCCGGCTTTCTGCCCGGGCTCCCAGTTCCCATCTTGAACCATTTCTGATGCGATAAAACTCGTGCATGACAATCAACTGTTACAGAGTTCCAGAAATCAAACCAAAACAAACTTGCGCAAGAAAACGACCTGTCCAATCGTTGAGCACTGGTTCACTGTGCGTGTCCTCTTTCAAAGACATTCTTCAAGGCCGCCAGGACTTCCAAACGTTTCCCTGGCCGCGGCTGCTCCAAGAGCTCGTCCGCCAGCCAGATCGCCTCCCAGAATGACCAGTTTTGACAGGAAAATATATATATATATAGACACACACATGAACTGGAGTAGATAGATGCAGCTGGAGTATACATGAACTGAGCAACTATACGCTTTTTGCAGTCACGGTTGAACTGGAGTTGCCGTGAAGCAAAATGCATCATTGTTCCCACCTCCTCCCATCGCTGTGCGCGGCAACAGGCCATGCAGGCGGCATCCAGGGCAGAAGCCGATCTGGGACATTTGCGCATTTGCGTTGCTCGTCGCCCACGTGAAAGCTGTTTCAAAAGAATCCCGGCCAATTCGATTATGGCAGATGATGGTGCATTATGAAAAAGCCTCTCAGTCAGGACGTTCAAGATCACTGCGACCAAAACACACAGCTGGATGCTGGGCAAGTAGAGACAAGGCCAAGGTCCAGTGCCCAACACGTTCTGCGCAACACAGCAAGACATGAAGCCCAGCTGCGTCCTGGAACGAAATCGAATGCACAGGAGAGCTACATCATGCTACAACACCTCACCCAGAATCATCAGAATCAGTGGAGAAACCGGAAAAACACCGTCGTCACCTACAAAAAGAGGCCTTATAATACCATCCAAGGTCAAAAGGTCATGAATTCGAGTGCTTTCAACCCCTGACGCCATCACCCAGTTGCCCCCTGTCCGTTCGCGGCGATTGAGATGCCAAGAGCAGAGCCTGGCGCCAGCATGCCGCGCGCTCGCAGGCACTCAAGGCAGCATTTAGACCTCGAGACAAGAGTGCAGCTGCAAGCGAAGTACAAGACAAGAACTCATCATGCTCATACTCTCATACTCATATACTGTCCACCTGTCCGTGAATTCAGAGACCTCACGACCCCACTACGCCACAGTCCATGGTATGGTTGTTTCAGGCATGCAACGGTTCTTGGCATACAGCACAGAACCCCTTGGACGCATCCTGAAGATTCCCAGACTACCACTGCTGAATCGAACTCAAGAGCTGCAGCTAGAAAAAAGAAAAAGAACATAAATTTGCAATCGTTTATCAATTCTTGCGTGTGTGACCAATTGAATAATTGTTGAGCAGCCTAGCGCAATGCGCTACGGCTGAATCATTGCCGAAGCACAGATCTCGTTGGGCTCCACAAAGCCATCTCGCATCCTCCGCAGAAAAACGACTTCTGTTGAACGACACGTTCGGCAATGAAGTGCCTTATATTACAAATTGGGCTTCTTCCACAGCTACCCGACATGGAACCCCAATGCTTCTCAAATGAGCAAATTCAGAGCAGGACACAAATGAGTGTCACAAGAATAATATTCTCACTACTAGGAGTTACTAGGAGCACGGACACTACCAGGGGCTCCTGGCCTTACTAGTAGGAGCAAGAAGCTACTAGGAGCAAAGGGCATCGCTACTAGGAGCAAGGACGCTACTATTCTCGCTGCTCCTCCCCAGCAGTGCCACAGCATGTGGCCACTCGGAGGCTTTGCCACAGGCGCTGATAGCGGCCGAGTAGCAAAAGGCATTGCTCTCAACGGAGAAGTCCTGGCTGATACAACGAATTCATGTTGGCTAGAATCAGTATTTGTGCTTTATGCTCGTGGTGTTGACATTGTTCGATGACTTCTCTGGACCTACCATGAGATCTGCTTCCGACGTGCTCGGGGGCATCCTGAAAGCCATTCCCAATATCCTTCATGCCGACAGCGTATGCAGAATGCTACCTACCTTGGTTTGATGTGGTACCTCGGTCGCCTCAGAGGTGCCCAGCAACAGAACAGCCGTCTGCCAGCGCTGAGCGTTGCCACAAGCCATCAAGAGAGCAGCGAAAGCAAAAGTGTTGAGGACGGGCCTGGACTGGTCCAAGGTTGATCAAAACCAAAGAATGGCCCTGGTGTCCATTGAGGTGGGGGACGTCTGTCCCATGTGCATCTCTAAGATTACCCAATGCTAATAGCAATGGCCTCCAACCTAATCGCGATGGCCTCCAACCTACTAGCGATGGCCTCCACCCTAGTATTGCTGGATCTTCACTACCTCACTAGATTTCACCACCCCTTCCAGTCAGAAACTGCCCTGGCACCGCCACCTCCGCCCCGCAGGAGTGCCTGAACTCGTGCACCAGCGACAAAGCCACGTCCCAGCGCCCGGCATTGCCACAGGCACTCACAGCGGCCGTGCCTTTAAAGCTCAGCAAACCAGGGCCAAAGGATTCAAGCCCTTTCTGCCGGCTAGGGCCAAAATACAATCGGTCTTAAGGTCAAGGACAACAAAATTGGAGACCAAATTCAAGCTCTGAACTTGAGCAAGAACTTTGGCATGCAGGCCCAAAACAATGAACCACCAGAGTCAAACCTTCGAAGGTCTTTTGGTCTCTAGAAGGCCAACCACCGATCTTCCACCTCTAGACTAGTGACTGCTAGTGCTTTTGGGTGTGTCTGATTTGGAATGAGGGTGCCCGCTGCCCGTGTGCTCTGGCACCTGTTTCATCTGTTTCTGAAAAACCCTCCACTCCACAAGTCGCCGTTGCCCCCCGTCTCTGTCAGAGCTGCCACAGAAGATCTCTAAGTGATCCAAGCGATTCAGCAGCTGCAAAGCACGCTGCCACTGCGCTGAGGCCCCACAGCTGGAGATGGCGGCCCGCAAACATGCAGGATCCTCATTGAAGATCAAAGGGCCATCAAATTCTCTACATGGAGTCATACAGTGTCATAACAGTGTCATACGTACAGTTGATGCTTGTTGAATTCCATATCCCAAATACCAAGATGATCCAAGATTCTTGCACTAGCCGGTCGTGTCAACCCCCACCCATCTCTCCATCCTACACCCTCGTCATGACCGAAGTCGACCGGAGACTCGAAGAGACTTCCAACCTAGTAGCCATGGCCTCCACCCTAATAGAGTCCTTGCTCCTAGTAGCGATGCCCTTTGCTCCTAGTAGCTTCTTGCTCCTAGTAGTAAGGCCAGGAGCCCCTAGTAGCGTCCTTGCTCCTAGTAGCCATGGCCTCTAACCTAGAAGCAATGGCCTCCAACCTACTAGCAATGGCGTTTGGTCCTTCTGGTCTTTCAGCAAGGCCAAGGCTATTCTCCATCGCCCCAAGGCCTCACAGCTGCCAATCGCCCGGGCCACGCTCGTCGGGTCCTGGAGCGAGCATGGACGTTGTATGAACGGAGCGAGCATGAGTTCGTCCTGATGAGTCTTTGTGAGTTCATAGCCTTTTCTTTGAAAGAAGAAGAAAAAGAAGAAAAAGGACTGGGTGAACCAGGGGAACGTGGGATTGCCAAAGCCCAGCTTAACATTGGACACCATCCGCATGCCCACGTCCGCATCGTCACCAAGCTCGTGAAGCAAGTGAAGGGCCCACGGCCAGCCATCCTCACCACAGGCAGTGATCGCAATATTGTAGCCTGTGCTGTTTCACGAATCAAAACCACAAAGCTCCAACGAGTCGATTTCGGTGTGGCCCAAGCATTACGAGTTGATACTCTTTGCAATTTGGCCTGGATGTTGTGAAACAAACATCGCACATGTCCTCTGTGATGCCTTCACACGAAAACGACCAACTTAACCCATGCATCTGCTCTCCGGAGAGCTAGCGGACGCTAGGTTTGTTCAGCTCCTTTTGCGGAGCCTTCACTCCGAGTCCATGTCCATCCGAGTCGCTGCTCCGGTCTGCAGACCTCACAGATCTCAGGAGCTCCAAGCAAAGGGATCTCTCCCGGGCACGAGCCAGGGCGCTCAGGGCGGCGTTCAAGGCAGGCCTCGGTGATCCAAACGAGTGAGCAAAAAGAAGCAAAAGGAGTGTCATGAGACTCGTCATGAGATTATGAGTAGCTTGAGGAGGGTGTTGAAAAGACAGCTATATAGCTGCCTGGCTGCAACCAGAAACGACCATTGAGTACCTAAGCTCACTTGAGAAGAGGGACACACGAAAGATAGGACAGCGGGAGGAGAATAAGCATGTAAAATATGCAGTGTGGTGTTGGTGGAGTCGAAGCAAACGTCAACTTGAGAATAGAGGAAAGGACCAAAGTTTGAGATAACATATATATATATATAACAACAAGAAGCACTAAAAACAACATGTCATGTCTCTTCATGGACTCAAACACTGCCGCAAGCTTAGAGTGCTCAACACCAAATAACCATCGAGGTGTCGAGGTGATCCACTTCGGGATGAAGCGGTCAGGGGGGTGAGAGGGGGGGGGGTATTGAAAAAAAAATTCCAGGGGGGGGGGGGGGTTGAATTGAACTATCAATTATTAGATCCGGAGGAGCCACACTTGCTTCGCAAGACAAGGTATCCCCTCTTCAGGGCTACGTCTTGTCCGTCTTCGGTCCTCAGAGTCACGGAGAGACGCCGCGTCCTCGCTCGCCCTCGCAGCCAAGGCGCCGATCCGCTCGTTTCGCCGTAAAGAGCTGCAAAACCACGGGCCAGGGAGGCCCTGACGTCATCGCAGCGGTGTAACCTCCGTCGGCATCCCGAAGCTTCGGACCACGGACACGTCCCCCGACCAAAGGGACACCGAAAGGGCGCGACGGAACGGCCCCGAGGAGCGCCTTTTTGATCGGTCCGTTTGGCTTTGCCGCAGCTTGGTTTGGAAAAAGGGAAGCAAAAAGAACTGGTATGTCGGAAGCACCGAGAAACGTGATTTAGGGCAAGAGTTTCAAGACTTCAAACTCAGATGTCCCATTTGGCGCAACATTCTTGAATGGGAAAGGGAATCACTGGTGATGCAATGCACTAGATCATCACATGTCTTGAAACATGCCCTTTGCTTGAAATACTAAAACTTGGAATCGGAAGACCAATTTGAGCACCTCGAAAAACACTAGCTTGAGGTGCCTCCGTGCAAGGCATCAATAAAAACTGCATTCCGGTGTACAAGAGCTGCCTCACAGAAGCGTTGTAAGCATGCTTTTAGTTGTAAGTTAACGGTTGTTTTTCAACCTAAAAGCAATGGCCTCCAACCTAAGCTTTTCTTCTTTGGGGGTCCGTCTCTCAACCGTTTGACAACGGGGGCGATGATCGCGGATGTGCACCCCAAACAGAATTGCAGAGATCTGACCACCTTCCCATGGTCGCACACTTACTGGTCTTGCCACCAGATATGCCTGAGATCGTAGAGCTATCAACTCTTTTACAAAACCTTTGCGCCGTTCGAGGCGACAGTGGTGGACATGCCGAGAATCACAGAGCCCAAGGCACAAGAGTGCTTCATTGGCTTTGGGGCCAGCCCTCTGAAACTGAAAAAACATTCCCGGCATGTTGGAGAGGAAGGATTTAGACTGATGTATCAGCCCCTAAGAATGGATTTCGCACATCTACAGTTCTGTACACGAGCCGCTCGCTCACTATCGCTTGTGTTTTTTGTTTCACTCACCTCAAAAGTGTGGCTGTGGCAACTGCCTCCACAAAGCCTAGGCTCTAACCACCACCAAAGAATCAGCAGCGCCTTTACCCCAGAGAATTTCTTGTTTGAACTCGTGGACTGCAAGCTTGCGGCGGATGTCTTTCTCAACCTTGGCTGGATCAAGCAACTTCACGTACCGGTCCAGTCTGGCCACATGCTCATCGTGTGTCCGTTGCATGGGGGGATAATGTTGTGAGTACTGCGGCTCAATCTCGATGGCTTCCATGGAGTGGAAGCTCAACCTGGGCTCTTGCATACCAATTGACGTTTGCTTGGAAACGACACCTTTCTGATTTCTCCACCTCACACATGTCTCTTCCGAACTCTCGCCCTCCTCCACCACGTGGTAAAGGCCACTTCCACTGCATCCCATGGCGTCGCCTTGGACCCTCCAGGCCGTCAGGGCTTGAATCCAACTGCGGAACGATGGGGGCTGGCCGAAAGCACGGCACAGATTGTGCTTCACATGACTACCACTAGGAACAAGTGCATCGCTACTAGGAGCAAGAAGCTACTAGCAGCTCCTGGCATTACTACTAGGAACAAGAAGCTACTAGTAACATGAGCTACTATCTTCATCCATCTTCCCTAACCTGATCTTACCGACCCCCCCGGCCAAAAACACTCCACCACTGAAACGCCTCACTGACACTTTTCAGCCTGACACGGTGGTCGTGTCCGATGCAGAGAGCCGCTATCATCACACGTAAAGCGTCCTGTGCTGCCCTCTGTCATGGCCGCTATCTGCGAATTCACACTGGTTCGCTCGCCGATGTCAAGGACGCGCACATCAAACGCGCACATCAACTGGCAGACCGGGCTGACGTCCGCACAGTCAGTCGTCATGATCGAGATTCCAGGCCGCTTGGGGACACAAAACGCCTTCTCCCTCTCTTGAAGTAATCTTGGAAGATCTTGGCATGCATTGACCCGTGAATCGAGAAAGGCTCTTACTTAGAAGGAAACTCGATTGGCGCAAGTACACCTTTAAACACTTGTTGCGCGCTCCCGCGGCTTTTGCGCTGTTGACCAACGCAAACCACACAAGGCTTCCAGTGAGAGTCGCCAGCCTGTAAGCCACGTTGTCACCCCAGAAGTGGATCTGACCCACCAACTTCGGAAAATTGCACAGAAACTGACGTCCGGATGACCAACATGGCCCAGTGGCTCGGGATTGACCCAGGTCGACTCAGATGTTCACCAACTAGACTGGTACGCTCCTGGGATGCTGGTACATTCAAACAAACAAGGTCCGAATGGGACATTCACGTAGACTTGCAAGGTAAGTTGTAAATGCAAGAAAAGGCTCCTAGTAGCTTCTTGTTACTAGTAGTAATGCCAGGAGTTACTAGTAGCTTCTTGCTCCTAGTAGCGATGCCCTTTGCTCCTAGTAGCTTCTGGGTACTAAGCTGTAAATGCAAGAAAAACTCAAAAAAGGCTATAGCACCTTGACTTCTCAGCAACGAAGCACCATCAAGAGGCGGTGGGACTTGAAAGTCTTTGGGGCAGCTGATCAAGCTTGACCAGTGTCATGCCAGGTGAAACGTCCTTTAAACCGGGGTTGATCGGAACTTTCCAAGAACCCTTGCACCCACTCCGGTGATTTTCCCACTTCCTCTCTACCCAGAAAAATCCAGTTTCCACTACAGCTGGGAGTCCCAGTGGTTCCACTTCGATGACCAAACCATAGACCGAACGAAAGCCTGGTTCCTAGTGGTAGCTGGGATCCACTGCAGATGTTCGATCAACCCCGACGGGCCAGCGCGAGAAATGTCCATCAAAAAATGGTCGCGGAGCAAAAAATTGGCAAGGGCACCCCATGTGAAAAAAGTTGCTTTAAAAAATTTGGGTGCTGCCCCCTATAGGAATATGCCAGCAGGCCCATGGTGGGCGAGCACGGCAGCTCGACGCCAATCATCACTCTGACAGCAGTCTTGCAACCAGGGATTCAGGCATCCTGGAAAGAAATATGACTGCCGCGAAAAAGAAGGATCAATAGATTCCTAGGAAAAGTTCCTTGCTGGCTGCCTCGCTCACTTCCATCTATGCCTCAGACATGCTGGCCTCACGCGGAAATCACCACCGGTGTGCCAGGAGAGTAAAGGTCTCTGCCCCAAGTCACGTCTTGCCTGGAGGAATGAAGGACACGTTTGACACGAATTGCCTTGATCAGTTCCTCTCCGTTGAGCGTCTTCAAGAACAGTTCGAGGTTCACCACGTGAGTGGCATGCGTACTATGGATTGGTGGGAGGTGCTCTGCATCTTCCAGATCTGTTTGAATCTTCCCCATGGAGTGGAAGCTCAATCGGGGTTCTTTGATGGACACCGAGACCTCCTTGGAAACTCCTCGCTCGCTTGGAAATCTCACGATGGTCTCTTCAGTCTCATGGCTCGCATGACTACTGCTACAGCCCATGCTGCTCGGGGCTCGATGTCTGGGGGCTCGAAAAAGGAGTGAAATGAAACCCTTGAGGCCCTTAGGCCCTTGAGTCCGAACTTCGGCTCCGGTCAGACGCAGCTCGGACTTGTCTGAAACAGGTCAAACCACAGTGTGTGTTGCCTTGACACAGGAGGTGACTACTAGCCAGTGACTGGTTCTTGGCGGTATAGTCAAAGACCTTGAGTCCAAATCTCAATGCCATTGACGAAGTTTACCAACAAGTTCTCTTTCAGGCAAGCTGCACACCTGATTTGCCTCGCAACGCTTGGACTCCATGACTTCCAAAAGCTTTAGGGCCTCCAAAAGCAAGAGAATCAAGTGGCTGTCAACATCTCACGGGCTCCGGGGCGGAACAAGAACCCCGCCCACCCTTTTGTGGGGAGAAAACCGCCTGCTGCCAGTCACATGCATTGATAGCTGTGCCGTAACCTGAGCCAACATCAAATTAGTCCAAATTAGTCTACCTGTGTTTTGCACAACTGGCTTAGCAAAACCATACATACAGTAAAGGGTTGGAATAATGAGATGTCAAATCTTTCTCAAAAGCCTATCCTTGTCTTTGAAGGTCTCGTTTTTTGTGCTCAAAGTTGTATAATCAATCATGTATAATCCATTTCAAGCAAAGTTGTCCAGCTTCTGGACGAAAGGAAAAGGCTACAAGGGCAAACTGACCACCATGGGCAGTCTCACTGGACCCTTCTGCCGAGCAGCTGACGACATCGGCTTGGAGCTCAGCATCTTCTAACCATGTCAGTAGGCTCCAGGCATCCTGCGCGAAAGTGAAGCCTCTAAACCACTTCCATCCCGGCCAGTGAAGCCTCTACTTGCCTCTCCAAGTCGACAAAAGTGGAAGAAACACTCAAAAATAAAGAAAAACTGTAGCCCTGCCTTCCTTCAAAGAAACTCTCGAGAAAAACAAGAAACAAAAACAACCTGGCCAGGCCTGCCATCGCTGAGCAGCAGCGCAAGCACTCAAGACAGCCCCATGCGTTCGTAAGTTCCAGGTGTTTTGCCGGTGAAAGTGCATCAGCAAGGCCTGAGCTAATTTGCAATGCGTCCAAAAGTCCGGCTGGGTATCTGGGTCGACGTCATAACGTATGTCTTCACCCAATTACGGTGGGGAAAACAGCTTCACGATGGTCGGCATCATCAACATCTAAGAAAAGGTTTGACCTCTTACGGCCAACTCAGGGTCCACGTGCCAGGCTTTGAATGCCCACCAAGCGCAAATCCAGAACCTCGTGTTTGAATTGTGATCTGCAAGTTTGGGTCTCTTTGACCTCAAAACCTTGGGATGGAGGCTCACACCACGTGAAGCAGTTTGGTGACCTTCCCGACCTTCTTCATACTCCATCGGTTGCACGCTCTATGGTGTTCAATGTGTCACCTTCTTCCCCTCTAGGCAGCTGCAGGCAGCTGCGCGCTGGTCCAAGGAGCTAACGCCATCTCCCAGTGATCTCGGCAACAGGCCACGGCGGCGCTACTGCTGACATCGTCGCCCTCGACAGCAAGGCCTCACGACGTCTCAAAAAGTATCGAGTGGATCTTGGGTCAATGACCCGAGTCCAGTCAATGGTTGGTCAACGCCGTTCCCAAAAAAATCGTGAGAATCTTAGAATGATTGATCGACGGCCATACCCAAAGCCTAACATCTCTGGAATTGGGGACGATTGGGCTTTCACCTGTGGAATCCAGCAGTTTTGACGCGCCTGCTGTTCAGTATGAAAACATGTGCATTCAAAACTGCAAATTCATGCCATGCTACCATCTTTGTATTTAGCTCTACTCAATCATTGATTCTGAGGCAACAATTTGAGTCTCGAAGGCGTTAGATGCGTCCATGGATTGCTCGGCACTGCAATTTAGATTTAGATCCTACGAGATCATAGAATACAACTCCATCCAGCTTGTTCCAACTTCCTGAAAAGCAAAACAGAATTCGTCCCTAACACATCAGTTTCAGCACCTACGCTGACCTGCCTTCCAACTCTCCCAACACTTCTAGTGCCCAGCGCCATTGGCCCCTGCAGGCAGTCAGCACACTGGCTGCATGGAAGACATTCAACTCCAAACTCTGCCCTCGCAACTCCTTGGCTGTGGACGGATTTCAATTGTTCTCCTGGATTCTGAAAATCAAGAAAGGCTGTCTCTGTCGTTTTGCTCACGTCTCATGAGGCCACAAGGACTGGTGGGCTTCCGTGATTGGCAGCAAGCTCGAGTATTCAAAAGATAGCATGTTGTGCGTTCTTTAAAAAAACTATGTCACAAACCGTCAGTCAAAACCTTTTTGGAAAAGCCTATAGGTAAACACCCAGACTTACCAGATCTTACCAGCATTCAAGCAGTGCCACAACTCCAACCCGTTTTATTGGAGCCTCCTCCGGAACCTGCTCCGGAGCTTGCTCCGAAGTCCACTCCCTGTGGGCTGTCTTGACCCCTCCCTAAAACTTGAGGCCAAGGGGGGGGGGAAAGCTAGCGCTCCAGAATGGGAAAGTGGAGGGCACCCGGTCGAAAGAAACCTTGCTATCGCAAGAGTAACTCCAGCTAGCTTCGCTAGCTTTCGTGACTTCGCTGTTGGGGAACAAACTATGGCAAAACAGAAACCACTATGGCAAAACATGCTAAACCACCCTGGGCGTGTGGCGCCCTTCCCTTCTTGCTCCACGCGGCACGAAGTCGTGCCACACACTCCTCTGGCGCCGCACGCCGCAGGGCCACCGCAGCGTCCCTCGAGGAGGGCACCTTGCGGGGCGTCCCTACCAGGCTCCTCTTTAGCCGCGACATGGGCAGCTCAAACAGGCGGAACTGGAACCCCCTGGGTTAAGGAAATAGACCAGTCTAAAGAGTCTATTCAGGCGAGATTTCCGGGTGAGAAAGGGGGTTCTGCCTATTCAAATACACTTCTTGCTACTCGTGGCGATGCACTTGTTCCTAGTAGCGATGCACTTGTTACTACCCACATGGCTGAGATGGTGATGAGTCATCACTCTGCTGACGTCATGAGAGCTTTTGGCACCACGGCAATGCCTAGACAATTAGGTTCAAAAAGAAAAATGTAAAAAAAAGAAACTGCTTCTTTGCCCTCGGAATTCGATCTTGAGGTCCTTTTAGGCCCTGATTTCCTACATCTCCAACTCCCCGCCTCCACCCGCATCGGACATGGCTGACATGGGAAGCACCGGAGACTCCGGTGATGCAGATGCCAATCGATGTCGAAAAAACACACCAATGATCAGCCCCTATGTGATTTGGTGGCTTTGATTGGTCTTGCACTTCGGGTTCTTGCTTTGATGCTTGGTGTAACGATTGATGTAGCACCTACAAGCCACTTCAAGCCTGCCGTGAGGCACATTCCTTCATACTATCTACTAGGAAAGTAGCTAAGTAGCCGTGACCACATTCACCACTCTTCATGCGTGAGCGAATTCTTGACAGTCCCATCTAAGAACCGTCTTGACAGTCCCATCTGAGCTGCGACGGGCGAAGGAGCCGGCTGAGGTTGCCACTGGTGCAAGCCAATGGGCGAGCACCTGAGTTCGCTCGTTCGCTCGCAAGCGTTCTGAATGTTTGACGCCACGATATGAAAAGGCGAGTCTTGTTGGATGATGGAACACGGTGAAGCGCTTGTTAGAAACACCGTACGCCGCACGTGAAAAGCAACCAAAGAAAACGCAAAAAAGAATCGGTTTCTCCAATTTAAGCTGATGGCCGCATTCATCATCTTCACTGCCTCGCGTCTCGAAACCTGCCAAAAGATGTCCGGGTCGGAGTTGGTGTGAGAAATGCGTGGCGCACATCCTTTGGAAGCACCGATTCGTCGGAAATCTGTGACCGCCCAGACTCGAAATGAGACATGTCTTTGCTTCAACATCTTCAAACGCCTGAATGGATGGTGATTCTCTTTATTGGCATTGGCAAATAGGTGCACAAGAGCTCAAGCATGCAGGCAACGCATCGTAGATGTTGAGCAGCACCGGAATCCTTTTGCCGCTGTAGACGTGGTCCCAACAAGGGAATAACCGTCATGACACGACCCAGCAGCTATTTCACAGGGTTGACACATTTTCCAGAGCTTTACAATCTCAAGCCACCGGTGAAAAATACAAGCACACTTCACAACCTCTGTAGCAAGTTGGGAAGTTGACTCTGGACCGTGAGCTTTATCTGACACTATGCAATGATTTGCTGCCTGTGTTCCAGTCTTTCTCCACCCACTGAGCACTCTCACCGGCCACGTTCGGATGCGACGGGTCGATCCTCAGCGAGTTCGCGAGTTCGGCGGTGTCGACGGGTTCGTCAGGGGTCTCCCTGGCCTCGGGGTAGACGGGGCCAAATCTCCGTTTCCCCCCAAAAGGGTCGTTGAACACTACGCCTGGCACCTGGGAGGTCTCTATTGGAGCCAGCTAATAGGATCTCAATAGTTCAATGCCGTTTTCCCTGTCTGCTGAGGACAGCTCCTCCCCACCAAAAACCAGAAACGCGCTTCCAACGTTCATCCATGCCACCAACCACACAAACGTCCAGTCAATCTCCAGGTGCGCGCCCTTTCTTCGGTCGCTCTGTTTTGGCACGTCGCTGGCGCGTGGGTCTCCGCTCTAGTTGCACGAGCCATCGTCCGCTTGATCGCTCCAGCGCGGCGGTCGAACGCACGTGGCGGTCGAACGCACCCACGACGGATGTGACCGGTCGAACGCACCGGATCGTCACCAGACCTCTTCTCCTCCTCGAACGACGCTTCGGACATCCGCTACTTGTTCTTCTCATTCCGCTATATCTTCTTTCTGGCCTTCTTTCTGGCCTGAGGCTCGGTCCCAAAACTTTGCTGCAGAGTATCTAGTTTCATTTGAAGTAACTAATACCAGAATTCGAAGGTGCAGCAAGTAAAGAAAATGAGTCAAAGTGCCTAATGTGTTGTTTTCGTTGTGCAGCAAATTCCGCTTCAGTCCTGGGAGACGACCAGTCGTGGCGAGCTCGCAGACTTCTCAACTTGGACCTTCTGGATCAGGGCCCCCTCGGTGTGACTTGCCGTCTTTTGTGTCTTCTTATTCCTTTTGGTCTGAGGAGTCTCCTTCAAAACTGCCTCTGCCAAAGCCGATGCCTTCTTCTTTCTCTTGTCGGTCGTAGTGTCAACCTTCTCAACCACTGCCCCTGCGGGAGCCCGTGTCTTCGTCCCCTTCTTTTTCTTTTCTGTCTCAGGAATATTGACCTCCTCGGCTGCCTCTGCCGTTGTGCTTTTCTTCTTTTTGTGTTCTGCCCTCCGAATCTTGACCTCTTCAGGTATCGCCTCTGCAGAAGCCATTGTGTTCTTCTTCTTTTCTTTCTTTTCTGTCTGACGAATCTTGACTTCCTCAGCTATTGCTGCAGAAGCCATTGGGTTCTTCTTTTTCTTTCCTGTCTGAGGAATCGTGACCTCCTCAGCTATTGTCTCTGCCGTCGTGATCTTCTTCTTTTTCTTTTCTGTCTTGAGAATCTTGACCTCATCAGGTACTGCCTCTGCTGAAGCAAGTGCTTTTCTTTTCTTCTTTTGCGGCTCAAGCTCAGAATTCTCAGCGCTTTCTCCGGTCATTCCGCTGGCTCTCTTGGCCCAAACCTTCTTGCTTTTCGGGTGTTCAATCTCGTCTGTTTCCAGCTGCTTCTCTTTCGTCGATTTCGAAGGCTTTTCTTTCACGTGATCCACCTCCTCAGCCTCTCAAGCCCGGCTCGAAAAGATATGAAAAGAATAGCATCTGGTGCTATAGCTGCCATCAAAGATAGATCCATTCCACTACAATCCCAAATCTTCACAAGCATCTCTCTCTCTCTCTCTCCCCTCTCTCCCGCCCGGGTCGTTTTCACTCATTTTTCTCGGAGTGAGCCGCCCCCATTTGGGGGAGCCCATTTCGGTACCGTCAGAAGGTCATGAGGCCTCACGGAAGCACAGCCATCCTCTGAACATCTTTTTCAAACAGACCTTTGGCTGCAAAAATCATCCTAGAAACCCTTGCAATCGCCGTGCGCTCGACACCATTCAAAAGCTCAACACTTGGGCATACCAGAAGCCCCTTAAGCCTCATCAGTGCAAGAAGACATTCTCGCCTCCAAGCAGTATGGCCAAGGCGACCTCGCGGAAGAAGGGAGAGAAACAACTTGAGGCCAGAGGGGGTGAACGAAAGCTAGCCGGGCTTCCGGTGGTCTGCTGCTGGTGCTGCTGCTGCTGGTGCTGCTGCTGCCGCTGCTGCGCTGGGCGCTGCTGCGCTGGGTGCTCTGCAGGCGCCGGGTCGTCTGCTGCTGCTGCTGCTGCTGGCGCTGGGTGGTCTGCTGCGGCTGCTGCTGCCGCGGCGTTGGGTATGCTGCTGCTGCCGCTGCTGCGCTGGGCGCTGCAGATGCTTGGTGTGCTGCAGCTGCTTGGTGGTCCCGGTCCCCTGGCTCAGGGGGGAGTCGAACCGCGGGGGGGGGGGTCCATAAGATTGATTTAATCAATTATTTGAGGTTTCTGAGGTGCGTCCACCCCGTCACTTAACTTGCTAAAGCAAGAGCAACTCCAGCTAGCTAAGGCTAGCTTTCGTGAAAACGAGCGTGCCACTTGCGAAGTCTGAAAAACCGCCACTTGAGAGCCATTCCGAGCTTTGCACCTAGCGTAAAAACAAATAACACCAGCATAGACCCCAGATTTATGTTGGGCGATGGCAGCCATACATGGCCAACCATCAAATAGTGTTTTGTGAAAAAAAGTGAAAAAACACAAAATAAAGGCAAATGAAAATGCCAAAAAACAAAAAACAAAAACAAAACAAAAAAAACTAATAACAACGCAAAAACAAAGCGCAATAATAGGCAAAAAAACAAAAAAAAAACAAAAAACGTAGCTGTGTGTATTTGTTTTTTTTCACGTTTTGTTCGGTTTTTTTTCATGGTTTTCGTTTTTTTCCTAGGAGGGTACAGCAAAAACAAAAGCGAAAAAAAAATAAAGAACTGTACCCTCCTAGGAAAAAAAACGAAAAAAAAAAAAACAAAAAAAAATAAAGCGAAAAAATGCGAAAATAAAGCGAACAAAAGTGAAAAAAAACACCGACAAATATGCACAGCTACATGTTTTTGTTTTTTGTTTGCTTTGCCTTTTGTTTTTTTGTTTTGTTGCTTTAAAAAACTATTTTGGCTCCTTGAATCTATGGCTGGCGTGCCCGACATAACCCCAGATAGCAAGAACAGATTTTTCTGGACTGCATTGGCAGGAACCTGTTTTACACAGGAAAAAACGCCGCAGTACAGCGTGGCGTGTCTCCACTACGCACACAGCCAGCACCAGCACCCGGCACCGGCACCCAATCTCCACCACAGCACCGGCACGCCAGCTCACAGCACCCAGCACCGGCACCCAGTCTCCACCACGTGCGCAGCCAGCTCACAGCACCAACACCGGCACCCGGCACCCAGCACCGGCAACCTGTCTCGAAAGCGCGCGCAGGCAGCTCATTGTTATTTGAAGTAAGAACCCCATAGCTTCGCTATCTGGTGAAAAATCCGAAAATAGACCCCCTCACATATGCAAGCTACACAACTTGTAAGGACCCAAAGGTCACGCGTAAGAACAGAAGAATCTCGAGAAGACACTGGATATACAACGATGTTCTGATTGCTGATTCCCTCAGCTTCCCTGGAAGTAGCGGCACCCTGACTCACCGGCACCAGCACCCTGTCTCTGCAACGCGCCAAGCACACACAGCCAGCACCCAGCACCGCAGCCAGCTCACAACACCAGCACCAGCACCCAGCACTGGCACCCGGCACCCAGCATCCAGCACCCAGCACCGGCACTCTGACTCTACTACGCGCGCAGCCAGCTCACAGCACCAGCGCCAGCACCGCCACTTGCACAGCCAGCTCACAGCACTAGCACCAGCACCAGCACCAGCACCGGCACCCACCCAGCACCAGCACCGGCACCCGGCACCAGCACCAGCAACCTGTCTCAGCTCACAGCACCAGCACAAGCACCCGGCACCGGCACCAGCAACCTGTCTTGAAAGCACGCACGGGCAACTCATTGTTATTTGAAGTAATATCCCCATAGCTTCGCTACAGCACCAGCACCGTCACCAGCAACATGTCTCCACCACGTGCAGCCAGCTCACAGCACCAGCACCGGCACCCAGCACCAGCAACCTGTCTCGAAAGCGCGCACGGGCAACTCATTGTTATTTGAAGTAAGAACCCCATAGCTTCGCTATCTGGGGAAAAACAAGTGAACGTGAACGGTCTAAATAAGTCAATGGAGCGATTCTTTTGAGAGGTGAGGCGGTCATGTCATGTCCCAAACAAGCTCGGCTCAAATGGTTTGTTGTCCAGTCAGACACTGCGCCAAAAGAAGCCCTGTCACATACGCAGCATTGCACAGCCTCCTCAGCCTTGCTGGCACTGTCCACGTTGGAGCTGGCCGCAGCGGTGGTTTCTTCTCCTGTCGCCTGATCCACATTGGTACGTGTCCCCCAGCTACAACGAGTGGACAAGACGAAATGGATGAGCATGTTGGAAACTGAGCCGAGGGAGTAAGTGGGGTACCTGAAAGAACCTCAAAGCGGTCAGAAACAACTGCACAAGTTGACCACATCTTTACGTAGCAAGTGCCCCCATCCAGCCTCACAAGTCGATACTTTGACTTTGCAAAGATATCCTGGCGAGCAGAACCAGGTCGAGGAGACCATCTGGTGAAACCCTTTCTTAGTGAAGAACCGAGGTCGAGGTCTGCCTCGTGCGCCACATCGAGACACGTCGAAGAAAATCGGTCCTCCCCAGGAATTGAAGCCCGTGATGCTGTTCTTTAAGGAGCCCGCGCCACGGCCATCAAAGGCACCAGTGGCCCAGGTATATCCCTCAAAGACGAGAAAAGCCATCGATTCACCCGTCTGATTCCTCTTCTCTTATTCATGTTATCTTTTCCAATTTGCGGGGTGTGGTTGATGATCCTCCTACAAGTCATGGTCAATGATGGTTAATGTTCGATCAGCAAAATGACCAGTGGAATTTCAATACTGGCTTCAATGCAATGTCGTCTTCTCTACGCACAATGCCGCCATGTCTTGCAAGGCTCCTGGCAGCTACTGTCATTGTTGCAGCGGGCTTGAGTGCATGCCTGGCTGGACGTCCCGTCTGGGTCTGATGGAAATGATATGTTTTTTTTGCACCCCCAAAACGGCACGGGCATCATCTGACAGCTTCATCTCATGCAGCGGAAATCTGACAGCCTCATCGCAGTTGTCAGGGTGGAAGTAGGCAAAGCCCGTCTCGCCTGCTTTAGGAGACGGACAAAGCTGGTCCAAGGTTCCGGTCCTTTGACCCACGACTTGGGAGTCTCGTCCCATCGATTTCTCGCTGCCATCCCCGAAAACGCCCGCAAAACGTCATGGAAACGAAAAGAAGGAAGAGGAAACACCATATCGATCTCCGACTCCCGCCAAAGGCACGACTCCAATCGCCGTAGATGGGCAAGTCTGAGGGAGCAAAGGCGCCGGAACAGGTCGAAGAAACCTGTTTCCAGGGTGCTTCAGCCGACGTTCATCACGAAAATGGTGCAGCTGGCGATGATGAAAAACACCCCATGGTCGACTAGATGATGCAAGACGAAGCGAATGGTGAAGCGATTTCGCCATGGTCGACTTCCCTTCAGTGTGTGGCACATTGATCACCCCCAAACTAAGTAGAGAGAAGTAGAGAGTGTAGTCACATTCCAGAAATCTAACCTTGCCACGGCTCCTCAGGTTCCTTCGAGGAGGACACAGAGCAGAGGCTGGCTCCGAAGTGGTTCGGCTCACAATAGCCCTCGGACGTCTCGTACCTCCGGTCCGCAGCGGGGCGTCGGTTCGCTTCCCGGTGGAAAGGCCCGGCCCCGAGTCGGTTCGCTTCCCGGTGCCTCACACAACATCGAGAGGCAATGCTCAGAGGGTAGCTGCAAAGCGCAGGAGAGCTCATCTCACACTCTGTCTGTACCCAGCCAGGATGATTAGGCTCTGCTGGGCTGAGCAACCTCCAATGAGCACAGGAACATTCGGCACTTTTGTGCCAACCCCAGCTCACTTGGACATGATCGAGCCTAGTACACCATCGGTCCGACAGGAAGGTTTGCGCATACTGTTCCTGATAGCTGCATCCAGAACCATCAGCCCAGGATCCAGTACCCTCAACCTCACACGAAAGTTCACAACGCCGATTCCGATCAGTTCAGCACTGATTCCGGTGTCCATGTTCAAGGCCAGAAACCACCCAGCCAATCCAGGAAGTAGATGATAGGAGATCAGCAGCCGCCCTGCTCTGCCCCTGATCAAGAGAGTTGTCTTGCAAGCCAGCAGAGAACCAAGCCCAGTGCTCCTCTCCTCTCCTCTCCCTCTCCCTCTCCCTCTCTCTCTCTCTCTCTATTCTAATTAGAAACGCCAAATGAGTCTCAACACCGAGTCGCCTGGCTCCTTAAGGTTGCAACAGTGGCACTCGGATGCAAGCTGCTGCAGGCTGCTGCACTCTCGTCGAAGCTCCAAGCATCTTAGACCCAGGTCATCCAGTGCTAAACAAATGGACATGACCTGCTGGCATTCTGCCGTGCTAGGCTGCTGTTCTTTCATGTTCTTTCTCTTCTTCAACCAACTTCCCCCTCACCTCAATAAATTCATCAGGACACCTTGGGTGATGCGGAAGCAGCTGTTCTCCAGTTGCGTCCACCCTGGCTCACAGTCGCCCGATGCGGGTGGGCCATCCGCCGCTGCAGAGCACACCAGCAGAAGCAGAGGCCATGAGATATCCATGTAGCTATGCTGTGTAGCTATGGTATAAACACTACTAAATGTGGAAGATGTACATGATTGGCTGGACGTCTTTGCCTTTTACTCACTCTCTCTCTCTCTCTCTGTGAACTTAATGTGGTGTCTTTGCAAGCCTCCAATGTGCTTTGACAATGAATCGAAAACCTCCTTCTTTGCACTGAAAGGAAACAGGCAATCTGAAACTTCATCTGGCCCTCGACTGATCAAGTCAAAACTGCAATCCCCTTCCACATAGACGTGGAAGGTTTGAATGTGTTTGAATGTTGGGCCTCTTCCAGTTCTTGCTCTTCTGGCCTGCCGCTGAGATGAGAGGTCTCAGAAGAATTGCACTTCTTCAGAACAAACAACTGCTACATAAACCAAAGTGGCCAAAGTGTTTCTTCCGAACATTCACCAAACAAAGGTTCTGACTATGCAACCAGCCTTTCTTGCTTCTCGTGCGAGAACTTGCAGTCCTTGCCACGAGAGCAGTCTCCTGGTAAGGTGAGATCTGAAGAGCAAATGGGGTGCTCGATTTAAGATTTAAATTTGACGCCAAATGCTGGAAAGGCTGCTAGCGAAGTAGCTAAGCAGCTACATCCAAGGCTGGAGGCCTGACAAATACCTTTGCCCTGCTTACACTCAGTCCGATCTCAATGTTGCAATCGACTGAAAATCAAAGCACAAGAACAAGGAAGATAACAGTAGCAAGAAAAGACAACCACGCTGGCATGGACCACCAGCAACACCACCACCACCATGATGACGACAACGGCAACAACGACGACAATGGAAATACCAATGACAACGACCACAACATCTACAGCACCGACAACTACATCAGTACCACCGACAACCCCAACTGAAAAGCACCAGTTGAACAAACTGAACTAGTCCCATCTCTCCTGCAGCAAAGAAGCGGCAGGGCGGTAGGCGCCGGCCACCCACCGCGCTCTTCTCATGTGCAAATTGGCAGGCCTCACCTCCAAGGACCCTTTCTTGTCCGTGCTAGTAGGCAGATCTTGCAAGAACGCTTGTTTGGACTCAGCCACCTCCTACAACCCCATGTGCTATCATAGGATTCAAACACTTAAGACTTAAGGCCGTCGGTGCCAAGGCTATATGCCAGCTCCGCGGGACATTTCAAACTGTCACCAGCCTCTGGAGCACTTGCCCTCCAAAAAGAACATGCACAGCTCCTACACGACTGGACCATGTCAGGATATGTCAGGTGTTGTCAAACGCTGATACCCTAACACCTTCAAGCCTTAAGGCCTTAAGGGACACCAGAAAAGGCCTGCTCTCCATATAAATCAATTAAATTTAAATCCACTGCCCTTTGCAGACTTGATCTGACCCCTCAAGGAAATCTGAGCTGTCCAGACCTAAAGTCCAGGCCTTAAAGCCTCCTCTAAAAGCCTCCCACCGGTGCCGTAGAGCTCTCACCAACCCCAACAGCTCGGTTCCTCCCACCGGTGCCACCGTCTCCGTCCTTCGCCTTCCGCGGCCCTTGGGATCCTTCGCGATTCCGCGCGACGCTGGCGGCCAGGACCTGTCCAGCGTAGCGGGCGCCATTCAGCCGCGCGGTGCAGTGCCGCGCCTGGCGACGGACGGAAACCAGCGACAGCGGCGACGGCTCTGCTTCGAAAGCAGAAAACTCGAAACCAAAAAGAAAGACAGCGGTCAAGCGCGGGAAGAAGGCGCCAACGGCGGAAATCCCGGCGCCTCTTCTTCTGAGCTGAGCGTGACGAAGGCACTTAGGAGTGTGCCACCGCCAGTCCTTGCGACCGTTCTATGAACTGAAGGCTTTCAAAAACATCTCTCCAACATCTCCTGCCTGCAGCTTTGATCACTGATGCAGCAGTCTCGTATATGATATCATGTGCGGTTTGCTTCCCCTGAGCCCCAAAACTAAGCCCTGCCAGGATTCTTCAGCAGCTTCACACGGTCAATTGCAACTGACTCCTGAATTGCTCGACAGAGGTTTGTCGCTCACAGTAGCTGCTACTCACTGCCTCTAGTCTCTCTGAGACCGAAATCGACGCCAACAGCAACATCGAACTATGCTTTGCAACGAATCCTAATCTGCAACCTCAGTTTTCTCGATGCTCTCGCATTCCAAAGCGGTGTTTGGACACATCCCGCAAACCTCCCCGCATTTGCTGGCCACCATCTGTCTCACGTCATCAACCTGAACACAACTGTTCTGGCCTGTTGTGCATCGAAAGAGAACAGAAGTGCCAGAAGGTGAGGACGACACTTTCCACAACTGGACTGCTCTCAAACTGGAAAGAATCACATCCGTTGCCCGGACTGAAACAAGCTAGTCAACTCACCCGCAAGTCTCAGTCTCTGGCAGTTGCTTCCAACGGCAACGGCCTCACGAAGACTTCGCGACCAGCCTGAACATCCACACGGAACCATATTTCAAGCAACACATCGATGCCAAGCAATTCCCATGCCATTCCGGGATGGGATGCCTTGCAATTCCATCAACACCAGTCATGAAAATTCCATCAAACCGACTCACCGACTCACCGACGGCGCCTCTTGCTCGCGGAGTCGCTTCAGATGTTGCAGCTTCAAGTCGCTCTCCATGGGCAATCCATCAAGCGAAATCCATGGCGATCAAACCAAATCGGAGCTCTGTCTCCGCCCAAAAGACTTCGTGTTGAAGTCGTTTCCCAAACCGTGGACCAGGTCGTTTTCTGTCTTGAAGGTGTTTTCTTCTGTGTTGGAGGCTCTCAGGTCCACCGGACGATCACCATGAAATAGGATGTTCGAGTGTTCGAACACGCAGTACCCAAAAGAATGCCTCAAGATCCATCTCTCTCAGCTTGATCCTGTGAGAGCATGGCATCATCGAAAAAACCTGCCCATAATACATGCATCCAGAATCCATCCTAAAGACTGAGAACGGCCCCGGGCCCTGCCTCCATCTTGGACCAGGATCAACCGGTCGACTGGCCACACATCGCACCGCACATATTGCACTGTGACATATTGCTGAAGTTTCTAGAGTCAACGAGTAACGAGTAACGGTTGGCCCAAACGCCTCCAATTCAGGATGCTTTTGAATCTTTCGCAGTGAGTCATGTGACGAGCAAGAAGTGCCCAACGGCCACACCCACGCGCCGCGTCCCCGCACCTTTCCGCAAGAGCTCGTTCTCAAACGAGGCGCTTTAGCCTCGCGAATGAACGGAACGACGTGAGGGCGACGCCCTCGGGGCGACGCGACGTGAACGACACGACGCGACGTGAGCGGTGAAGCCTCGAAGACCGGCTCGGATCTCCCGCTCTGAAGAGAACGTTGGCTCGTTTGGCTGTGTTGGGATTAGGCTTGGGTCTGAAGTGTCCAAACTTATTTCTTGGCAATGTACGGATGGATTTGGGGGCTTAGCTTCAAGAGAAGAGAGTGCTGAATCACTGAAGGACGCATGAATGTTCGAGCCAAAGGACTGGATGAACCGGCATACATGCACAGGCTGGTCCAGGTTGGGAGATGCAAACTAGGCCCCTGCTGAATGGAGAAGGCTCGACCTAGGCACCCACGTGGATGCTGATGACATAAATTGAAATAGTGATCATGGAAGTGGTATGCCGGTATGCCCTTTTGACTGGATGATCGAAGTCCGAACACCAAACAGGGAATGTACATCCAACATCCCCCGTGGGTGGACCGTTGGATGCTTTGCTGGTCAATATTTCGAGAGTTGGCGTCTAAAGGATGAGTGGCAAGAGGTAGAATCTCTAGAAAATGACAGACCCAGTTGCAGAGGAGCATCCAGCATCTCGTGATTCATGATTCATTCCTTCCAGCACTTCTGGCACTCCGACCCCGCAACTGGGGGCCATTGGAGGTGTCTTTTTTGATGTCTGCTTCAAACATGTCAGGATTCCAAAAGCGGAAAAAGGGGCTTGCAGCCTTATGTGGCACTTGATCGACAGTCTAACAATTTGAAAGACCCCTCGATCAACCACCACACAAAGCGAAGCAGCTCGGTCAGGGAAATCCTCCGACCCACCGCTGAGTCTCACAGACCAAGACCCGCCTGGCCCTGCTCACACATCTAACAAGCTTGTGGCTTCACGGAAACCGTGGCTCTCAGGCAGCGGGGCATTGCCAGGTCGCTTCAGCAATACTGCTTGCCAGCCCGCCTGCAGGAAAATCAGTTTGGGGGGGTTCTCGTTTTGCCACCACCACAGCCACCACCCCATCAAATGGACGTCCACGGACCATCACAGAGCGTCACCTCAAAAGTATTTGATTTTGCAAAAAAAAACACGAGAAACACTTCGGGACGACTGAAAAAGTCGGAGTCCTTGGAGTGTCTGATGTAGACTAGTAGATTCCCGTAGATTCCCACCTTTCGGGCAGCTTGGGCTTCGCCCAGCACGTCAGTGCAGAAGAGGCCTCACGCGCTCGACAAAGGGAAGCCAAGATGAGCAAAAGAAAACACTGGATGCCTTGCAAAGGGCGAACATGATCGACCTCCCTTCAGATCCCTTCATTTATGATAGCTTCGGTCTTTCTTTGCCCAGTGATGAAAGATAAAGAGTGGAGGTTGTTTTGAACTCTTGGACTCTCGGCTTTGAAAGCATCCCGCCAGACCTTCGCTAGGATTGATGCCCATGGATAAAGCGATCTCCTCATAGGCCTTGGCCTCTTGCTTTGAGGCCTCCGGTCTTCGAAGGCTGAGCATGAACACATGAGTGAAGTGACTGAGAAACATGAGGGTCAATCATACTGGATGGTGAAAGCTGACAGTGGAGAATATCTGGAGAAGACCTGTTCGAAGACTTGGAAGCCAAGCTGGCGGTAAGAGGAGTGCTTTTTATTTGTATTCATTCACAAGCAGAATCAGAGCGCCAAGATCTCCCACCTGTGCTGACTTGGGATCGAAGTACGCCGACAGGTAGCTTGTCAAGTCTCCCTTGTCTGAGTACTGATAGATGAGTCGTTGGGCCTGCAAAAAAACACCAAAAACACCATGACCATTCCCTTCTCTTCATCTGCCAAACAAGCCCTTGTTGCAACCGCACGGCTTCTTCGCTCTTTCCGGCATCAAGTGGTTTTTAGTTTCTTTCTCCTCTGAACGCCGACCCGGACATGTGTCTCCGATGGCCGTCGCGTCCGGAGGATGGTCCGTCGACGTCCGTCCGCCTCGCGACTGCCGCTGGAGAAGATGGCCACGCGCTTCCCGGCGGCCACCCAGGCAGCCATGGCCTCGGGGGTGTCCTGGGCGCGGGCGTGGGCGCGGGCGTGGGCGCGGGCGTGGGCGCGGGCGTGACCCTTCTTCGGTTCGGTCTTTGGGTCGAATGAATCAACTCTACACTCGAGATGTGGTCAATCCTTCGGGGTTGCATGCGAGCTGCTCTACCCCCACGGAAGAGTGGAAGAACCCTGAAAAGAGCAAGGTGGTCCATTTCTCCGACAGCATGGAATCTTTGCACCTCCGTCCACCTCTGAACCCATTTGACCACTCTGATCCTCGAACATCTCGCCCTTGAGCTCCCCTTTCTCGTAGCCGGCTTTCCACAGCTTGCCCTGCAACGTTGGGAGATACTCCCAGCACCAGCCATGAGGTATGTTTGATCTTGATTGAAACCCTACGCAATTCAATTGAGTTCTGTGAAACAGACCACCTGCGCAAATGCATCTGAAACAAACAAGACTGGTCTGCGCCGGTCTCCTGCAAATCTTTCAAGGCTGGAACCTTCCGGTCTTTGGCAATCCACTCCTGACAGTCATCTCTCGTGGTCGTTTGTGGTGCAATGAACAAGGAAGTCGAGCTGTTCAGGTCCTTGAGAGATGCTGCATGCCCTCTGCCATCTCTCTTCTAACGTCTTTGTGATGGGCATTCCCTTCATATGTTGATACATAATAATATAAGATGATATAAGCATCTCTCTCTCTCATTCGCTTCTACAAGCCTTGGTCAGCCGCAGAACCTCTTCCTTTGACCAAATGAAAGGCACCTGGTCCTGTCAAAGACATCAAAAGATTCAGGTCAACACCTCCAAGACCTGATTCTGGAGTTTACGAATCTTCGCACCACTCGGGAAAGCTTTCCCTCTTGTCCCTCGCGGTGTCCGTGAAGGACAGAAAATAGTTTCGAACAAAAACTTCCAGCTCGATCTGCTTTCCTTTGAAGCAACTCCTTCCCTTTGCATCAGGCTTTCGAGTGCACCAATGATTCGAGACATTCTGACGGCCACATTTAGCCGGGCAAAAGTCCTCCTTGCACTGCTTCTCAAACTCTTTGGCCACATCTGCTAGGTTTGCAGTTTGGATCCAGGAGTCAACTGCAGTGGCCGCATACGGGAAGAGCTTCTCCTCAGCGCTCAGTCCCAACTCCCCAACCCCGCAGTCTCTGAAGTTAGAGCGACGTTCCCAGACCTTGACCACCCCCCATCGGAAGGTGGGGGACCTTTCCACGGGTGGACTGTGTTTCAACACGCACATACACACACCCAATCCCGGCCGGGGCCCCACCGCCGCCCGGGCTCCGACGTTAGCGCCACCACGGGCCTTCACAAAAGAGATCGGCGTCGTGGTGCCCTCCACGTCCAGAAGCACCACCGCAGGGCCTCGTCGAAGCCGCTTCCGTGGCGCCTGAGTGAAAAACGACAGTGACGCTGACCAGACCGCCTGGTTCCTCCCAGCTTGTGGAAGATGCTAGAGGTTTTGAGAAAAAAAAAACGAAATCTGAGATCCGGAGCTTGTAAGAACCCCATGGCTTCCAGAACACCCCCGGTTCCCGCACCTCCACAACTTCCTCCCGGCTCCTGGGCAGCCAATCGCACGAAAACCGAGACGTTAAGACCCAACTGGCAACTCCGAGCGAATTCGACAGGGAAATCTGTGATTGCATGGTTCACCGCCGCTCCTAGAGATTCAGATATATGTGGAGAAGGCTGAAGAAAACACTTGCTCGATCTTGTTCGTGTTTTCTGGAACTTCCAAACACCTCAGATCAGCTGAACATCCCTGTCCTCCGGATCTCAAGGTCCAAGAGAAAGCCCAAACACTCCGTGGCGATCTTGGCCTTCCTGGCAAGGGTGGCTCAGTAGCCCTACCTCATCCCACATGGGTGTCTATCTCAGGGGGACCTTTGGGAAGTCTCCCTACTTCAATACACACCTACATCTGGTTCTCCTATCTCAACCCTCAGCTCCACCTGTGTGACCGACAGCTCAGACCATTCCGCCACCGAGTTGCTCTGCAGAGCTGCCAAAGACATAAGCTCCATGATCCTCAGCGCCACCGCTTCGGTGCCACCGAACATCCCATTGCCAGTCACCGAACCTCCCATGATCCCCGTGGCATGTTTAAACCTCGCCCTCTCGGTCGGAGCGACCGTCTTCCCCGTCAACGAGTCAGCTTCCAAGTCGAGTCTCGCGCACCAGCACCGCTGGACAAGAGGGGTACCTCTGCAGTGCTCGAATCAGGTCGGGCACCAGGTCCGGTTCAGTGGCCTCGCTGCGAAATGTGGTGCTTCATGCGCGATGGCCATGGCTGTTGCAAGACCTCACTTGGCCAAAACCTCTAATTCAGCGAAAGGGAACAAAGTCCTTTGCACTCTTTGGTGAAAGGGATGGAAATCGAATGATTTTTCATCGAAGTGCGTCCTTTGACCCAAGAATGCTACGCATGGAACTAGTGCCTTGTTGTCGATGATGGGCACCACCAGCACTCCGTCTCCGGACACGCCCAAGCCTCGTGAAAGCCCATCCCATGAGACCCGGTCTCAAGCGAGCTGCACTCCGGTCCAATCTCTTCGTGAAGATCTTAGATCGGAAGTGGGAACGGTCTTCGCTTCGTGTTCCAACATCTTCCTTCCTTCCTGCTGAAGATCTTAGATCGGCCACACGCGATGGCGATCCCAAACCGACGGCGTTTGGGCCATGTCCCCGTCCCTCCCGTTCTTCACGTCCCCCAAACCGACCCTCGCTCTCCGTCGCGCTTCGGTCGTCGCACCTTTGATCATTTCGGAGTCGCGGATTCGCAGCACCTCGGACGAAGTCTCCGTTCCGAACCTCTCTCAAATCAGCAAGTTGACCATCCCATGAGGCTTTTGGAGTTGCCTTGATCGACCGAAAGCAGATCAACCTAACGAAGCGCTAAAGCAAGACCCCTTGCGCTCCCAACAGGCAGGGCTAATCGAACCTGAAACACTTGCGTGTGTCCGTGGATGGGGGGCAGGATCTCCTCCCAGCACCTCCTTGTTCTCCGCTGCGACGATGGCAGGCACTGAGTGAATGTGGCAAATAGCTGTCACGTCACTCCTCCAAAAGGATTGGCCAACGACTGGCACGGGATGAGACTTGGCACCATAAACGACGTCGCACAGTCACAACGGAGGTCTTGGAGCTTTCTCTTCGTTTTTTTTCGTCTAAAACTCTCTCGACGCGTCCAAAAGATGCCATCACCATCCACTAACTCCAACCCCACCTCCTCTACCATCCCACACATCATCCCGGTACCATCCCGCACGGATGTGCCGGCTCCTCCGCTCGAAGACCGCTTGGAACACCGCCGCGCTGTCTGAGACCTTCGCGGCCCGGGACACCGTCAGCCTCGCGGCCTTCGGTGCCGACTTCGTCGGCAGCTTGAGCAGCTCGCCCGAGCCGGCAGCCAGCAGGAAGAGGTCCTCGAAGAGACTCCGATGGACAGGCTTCAATTGGCTGATTTTCGGAGAAGTTCTGTGAGGCTTCTCAAAAGGGCTGCTGCAAAGGTGGAAGCAAGCAGTGTTGACACAGAAGGAAGGAGCTGAAGTTGTACTTATTGTATCTTACTGTACTTGCAGGCGTGCTGATTGAGTTGTATCATTTATTTCACAGGACCAGAACAATCCATGTGCGGCGGTTTCGCGATGCGTGATCGGGTAGAAAGGGGTGTCTCAGTCTCAGTTCCACTTGATTCATAGTGCCAAGACTTTTGTCGATCATCTTGAAAGATCTTGATTGTAGATGCAATCTCAGTGATTGGTCTTCTGTCACTTCTGGCAAAGGAAGCAAGTTGCATAGCACACTGCAGGTCCGCGTGACAAATGCTCGCTCGCTTCAACCAGCTGCCTTTCTGCCTTTAATCAACCACCTGCTAACTACCGCTGTCCTCCTCCTGCAACTGCTCTTTGGGCACACCGGAGGGTGTCACCAGCACCGGGGCGTTCACCACGCCCGACGCCTTCGACGTCACTCGGCATGCCATGGCTCCTGAAGAGCCCAGGCACCAGCCCTGTGCGAAGAAACCACGCAAGCAAGACTTTGGCGCCGGGCCGGGCCAGCACATGCAGGTTTGATGACGTTGCACCGATGTTCACCCACCCTCTTTTCCAACCCAGGGCAAACCCGCAAATCTGGCAATTGTCACCATCCTTTGTAGGTGGTGAATACAAGAAAGCATGAATAATGCAGCCAATCCGCACGATGGTAGACCTCAATGAAAGTTCCTCTTCCAGAGGTTGAAACCGCTGCAAGTATCTTTCTCTCGAAAGGTGAGTATCTGCTGGACGGTTGATGGGCGTCCACACAGGCACGCCCTTAAATAGGCCTCGGTGTCTGCTCAAAGGCGACAGTATTCGAGCGAATACAAACACAGAACCTCTGAAGAAGCTTGGCTGGTTCGTCTTCGGCTATCAACACCAAAGCAGGAATTCTGCCAGACACGCCCAGGCACGCATGGCATGTGTGAAGTTCTTCGTGTCCATCGTGAACCTCCACATGCAAAACTGAGACAGAGCGACTTAGAAAAAGGCTTGACAGGGTGTGCATGTGTGAGGAAGTGTGAGACTTGTGCAGCAAAGAAAAAGTGAGGAGGTCAAGTCAATGCGGATCTAGAGGTGTTCGACAAGACAACTGTTCATTTGCCTAGTCTGCGAAAGGCGGTGCCTGTGGTAGATACCCTCTGGTAGCACAATGAGATCACCCGCGCTTAGTCTGATCCGAATCCAACGATCCTGCGCATGACAAAAAGTGAAAAGCGAACAGAAAGAAAGATGTTGTCTGCACCAACGTCTGTGACATCAACTGAAATGCCACGTTGCTTCTTCGGTGACAAGAGAATAGGACTTTCCTTTAGGCGGAATAGGCTGCTCCTTCAGATCCCGCACATCAAAGTAGCCACTGCCCTTGAGGATGTATCTGACTTCCTGCCAAAGTAAAATGACCGAACCGGAGCCGAAAATGATCCGTGGACCAGCTTACGAACCTGTCAAACGCTCACCGTTCCAGGCTTTCCCATGGACCGTTCTCGTGTTCACGGGCTGCGTCGATACAGCGAACACTGCGTCGATACCGTCGATACGTCGAGGCGATGGGAGTTCCTCTGACAAGATGGGGTTGTATTAGAATAGGGAAACATCGCGATTAGAATAGGGAAACCCCCCAACCAACATTCAACACCCCCCTGGAAGAGGAAAATCGACCAACAAAAGCCTTTGGTTGCGGGGTCCACTAATAATAAAATGCAACCCCCTTGACTCATACTCATACAAGAATTCCTGACCCTTTGGCTAATCTGTACAGACTTCCGCCTCATCCGAATGGATGTGCTCTTCGAAGAATGCTTTCAGCTTGTTGTGGTAGTCCGGGAGGCACTCCTGTTAGGCGTTGACTGGCACCAGAAAAACATGAAGTTCAGATGAAAACCATGAGAAGTGATCATTGTGAGGCGCTTCCGACCTACAGAACCCCACTCCTCTGAGCAAGTGATGATGTCGGCATAGTTGTACCCACGAGACTCTCGGATGGCTGCCAGTTGCTTGTCCTGGATGAAGAATTGGCTGTTCAAACACAAGATCCGAACAGCCACCTTCTTAAAGCATGGCAAAGCGGCGTGAAAGAAGTCACCAAGGTCCTGAATGCCATCCTTCGGTTCCCAAGGAACTGCCTTGGCCGGGTAGTCGCCAACTGGAGGAATATGCCAGTGGATGACGCCAAGATCACGTAGGTCGGAGATCGTCACCTGTCAGAACGATGGCAAACACATAAAAGAAAATGAGGAGAGACACTTCACTGCAAAATGACGTGTTTTAGTGTGATGAACAAGATCGTCACCTGCTTTCAGTACAGTTCTAAATCCTCCCAGACCGCTCCGGTCATGGCCCCCTCCGGTTTCCCCCAGAGCGATCCGTCCGCAGCACCGGATGATTCGGCTCCGTCCGGTTCTCGGCCGTCTGATCGACCACCGCATTGGCCTGGGAGGTGACCGTTGGAAGAATCGAAAAGGACTAGGTTGGAGGCCATCGCTAGTAGCTCGGAGGCCATTGCTATTAGGTTGGAGGCCATTGGTTGTAGATTCGAGGCCATCGCTATTAGGTTGGAGGCCATCCCCATTAGGTTGGAGGCCATTGCTGTTAGATTGGAGGCCATTGCTATTAGGTTGGAGGCCATCATTTGTAGCTTGGAAGGCATCGCTATTAGGTTGCAAACATTGCTATTAGCTTGGATGCCATGGCTAGTAGGTTGGAGGCCATTGCTATGAGGTTGGAGGCCATCATTAGTACATTAGAGGGCATGGCTATTAGGTTGGAGGCCATGGCTTGTAGGTTGGAGGCCGTCCCTATTTTGTTAGAGGGGACCTCTAGTAGGTTGGAGGTCATTGCTAGGAGCTTGGATGCCATCGCTAGTAGGTTGGAGGTCATTGCTATTTGGTTGGAGGCAATCGCCAGTAGGTTGGATCTCATTGCTCTTAGGTTGGAGGCCAAAACTAGTAGATTGGAAGCCATCTCTATTAGGTTGGAGGCCATTGCTATTAGTTTGGAGCACATCGCTAGTAGGTTGGAGGCCGTTGCTATTGTTTTGGAGGCCATCCCATTTGGTTGCAGGTTATTGCTACTAGCTTGGAGGCCATCACTAGTAGATTGGAGTCCATTGCTATTAGGTTAGACGCCATTGCTAGTAGGTTCCATTGCTAGTAGGTTGAAGGTCATTGCTATTGGGATGGAGGCCATCACTAGTAGATTGAACGCCATGGCTAGTAGGTTGGAGGCCGTAACTAGTATCACTAGTAGGTTGGAGGCCATTGCTAGTAGGTTGGAGGATGTTCTATTAGGTTGCCGGCTATCGCTAGTAGCTTGGAGGCCATCGCTATTAGGTTGACTAGTAGATTGGAGGCCGTCGCTACTAGCTTGGAGGCCATTGCTATTAGATTGGAGGTCATTGCTATTAGGTTGGAGGCAATCGCTAGTAGGTTGGAGGTCATTGCTATTGGGTTGCAGGCCATTGGTTGTACATTGAAGGCCATCGCTATTAGGTTGGACGCCATCCCTGGTTGGTTGGAGGCCATTGCTATTAGGTTGGAGGCCAAAACTAGTAGGTTGGAGGTCATTGCTATTAGGTTGGAGGCCATCGCTAGTAGGTTGGAGGCGCTCACTATTTGGTTGGAGGCCATTGCTATCGTTTTGGAGGCCATCGCCATTTGGTTAGAGGTCATTGCTACTAGCTTGGAGGCCATCCTTAGTAGATTGGAGGCCATTGCTATTAGGTCGGAGGCCATCACTAGTAGATTGAACGCCATCGCTATTAGGATAGAGACCATTGCTAGTAGGTTGGAGGTCATTGCTATTAGGATAGAGGCCATTGCTAGTAGGTTGAAGGCATTGCTAGTCGGTTGGAGGCCATCGCTAGTAGGTTGGAGGCCATTGCTATTAGGTTGGAGGCCATCACGAGTAAGTTGTTGGAGACGTGTGTATTTTGAGCCCGCCTGGCCCCCCCATGGGTAGACTCCCTATTTGGTGGATTGAGAGTGGATGAGGCACAGACCCCAAAAAAAGGGTTTAGTTGTGGACCCCTGCCAGTGCCATCGAACCTCTGAAACCACTGTAAGTGACTGAGGCCTCAATGAAATCTGCGGCAAAGCTTGCCAAGCTGGCCAAGCTGCCATGTACCATGCTTCAATCGTCGCCATTGCTGGAAGACTCGTTTGCTGCAAACAACTGTCGTTGGGTTCGCGTGTCCTCTTAGGTCGGATCCTGAAGGAAGTGGAGTTGATCTACCACGCTGTTTCTCGAGCAAAACTGGAGAAGAGCGGACAAAAACCTTTGCTGAGCAAGAATCCAAAACCAAAGCATTGTTTGGTGCGGGCAAAGGCATGTAAAACCAAAGCCATCGGGCTTTTCGGCCGTCCGTATCATCCGTGAGGATGTTCAATCCAGAGAATAACGCTGAAGAAGCGTCAATTCCAGTCCAGCTGGGTAAGTCTGTGGCTTCTGTTGCAGTAAGAGATGCTTGGTGAGTTCTTGAACCTGCACTTGTGGAAAGCCGTTTTGTTGCCCGTTGAAGGGAGTCAACAAATGTTGAAACCAGAGGATGTAAATGGAAGATGCACGAAAAAGAACACCTCGAGGAGCGTTCCTCTTCCACTGGCTCTCCAGCAAGTACCTTTCTCTGGAAAGGTGAGTATCTGCTGGACGGTTGATGGGCGTCCACACAGGCACGCCCTTAAATAGGCCTCGGTGTCGGCTCAAAGGCGACAGTATTCGAGCGAATACAAACACAGAACCTCTGAAGAAGCTTGGCTGGTTCGTCTTCGGCTATCAACACCAAAGCAGGAATTCTGCCAGACATGCCCAGGCACGCATGGCATGTGTGAAGTTCTTGGTGTCCATCGTGAACCTCCACATGCAGACAGAGCGACTTAGGAAAAGGATTGACAGGGTGTGCGTGTGTGTGGAAGTGTGACAAGGGACTTGCGCAGCAAAGAGAAAGTCAAGAGGTCAAGTCAATGCGGACCTGGAGGTGTTTGACAAGACAACTGTTCGTTTGCCTAGTCTGTTAAAGGCGGTGCCTGTGGTAGATACCCTCTGGCAGCACATTGAGAAATGCGCTGAATGTCTCTGCAGCCTGCAGTAGTTCAAATGGATTCGTGAAAAAAAAAAAGAAGAAGATATAACTGACGTTCCTTGCCAGGAAAGAAAGTTAATCAATCCAATTGCTTGTGTCAATGGCACAAGCCTCTCAATTCATGAAATGGTAACGAAACACAGTTCACTCAATACTTTGCTGCAATCATCACAATCACCCTGCACAAAGGTCTTTATTTGCCTTGGACTGTGATTTGTTTGTGGGCATAGAAACGCGTGTGCCAAGTGTACATTCTGGTTGTACGAGGGGCCGTGAAATCAACCTTGCAAAGTTACCAGATGACTCCTGAAACCGGAGGTTTTTCCCTCATATTGTTCAACGTAATGCTTTTTTGGGGTGCAGATTCGCCCCGCAAAGAGATCCATACTGCCTGCAGTTTCGCTTCAGAGTGGCCTAACACACTTAAGCAACACCCTGACCCCCACGGTACATTTTGGAGCTGAGATCATGTGCTGCAAAGGCACACGCATCAAACGTGCGTCTGGGAGTTTTTCCTACACTCGCTGACAGTGCACCTGCTGACACTCGCCACCAACGACCTATCTTGCGTTAGAACGGCTTGTGGAATCACCAAGGCAGGGC